TCTTAACGGACGTCTTAGCACAGACTTCGGCATTGAAGGTACGACAGAATCTCCACACTAAGCAATCTTATCAGTAATCATACTAGTTGTCTTCGGCATGGCAGGCGTCACCGGCTCAAATCTAGTAGGGGCAACCCACATTTCTCTCGGCGAAGAGGACTAATCAGCCAACACCATTCATGATACTCAGCAATGATACCTAAAGCAACGTGCACCTTCTTCATATATGGAGAAGTCTTGGGAATTGAGCTGAATCTACATAGATAGAGGAGGATAATCAACAAATTAGAAAACAGATTAGCAAAAGCACAAATCAACCTAGAGACTAAGCAGTTTACTTACCAGTGATGAAAATCGTTGGAACACACAACTCAGGGGATGAATCAGACTCCCACTCTCCACTTATCTCCAAAGTCTCCTTGGCCTAGTCATGATCTCTCTTGCTCGAATAATCATAGAGCCTGTGGTGGCATCGCAGCTGCCCAACTCCATCAATATGGCCTATGTCAAAGAAGTACTATAATTCGTTGACGATCAGATCCAAGTCAAAGAATTAGCTTAGATTGAGGAATCTCACCATCACACGGGAGCACATTTGGAGAACATTGAGCGGGGGAACACTTCATGGAGCAAAGCACTTCTTGGAAAAACGTGGCATGGGAAAAGTAAATCCTAACACGAAGTAGTATGGGTGAAACTTGATAACTCTCTGAGCCCCACTACATGGCTCATGGTTGCTACCCTCCTTGACATGTTTCACACGCATCCCAGACAGAATGGCATGCCTATATGCTTCAAGGGAATCTCTGAATGACCCAACCCAATTGAAAGGGAGGCTGATGCCTCCACGCCTCAATCTCTTTCTCATCTCTCATGCAGACCAGCCCAATTGCACGGGCCCGAGATCAACGGCTTGAACCTTATACCTTAGCACCCAAAAGCCTTGGCCCAAGCCAAGTGGCCCCTAGCCTATGCCAACATAATCCAAGCCGAGCCCCAACTCGTCTTGGTGGCTCACGCCACTGCACCTAGACATTGGGCCATGCCGAGCTGTTGTCACACCAAGCCGACAGTAACCACCTACAGCATCAGCAATGTCATGGCCTCCCTAACCATTTTTCCACACACCATCGATCCTCATCGAGCCAAATTTCAAGCCCCGAGGCTCCCAAAAATTAAAAAGACAAGGAAAATTAATTTTTCCTTACCTTGGTGCAGCATGAAGATGAAGAAAGCAATGAAAGACAGTCCTTTGCACGGGCAAGTGTAGAAGATTACTAGGGGAGGGGGAACAAATATTCTTGAGCTTTCTCTCTCTTGTAGGGTAGAATAAATTGCTTTTTAGAGTTGATTTAATCATATACTTAAGGTAGACTTAAATAGACTTTGGAAGTAATTTGTTTCCCTTTCCTAGAAGGATCTAATTTCCAATTAATGTGGGAATCTACATCAAAATAAGAAACAATCTTATGCTTCCTAAACCAAGGGAAGATCTCTACCTGCTGCCCTTTCCTGCAAGTAGCCCAACACGTGTGGGGGCATTTGTGGAGCAAAAAATAATCAAGAAAATTATGAAGGTGTCACGTGGACTTTGGGTCAGAAGGACAAAATTACCCTAGAGGCACACCGGGATTCTCATGCGCATACAACGGACAATAATTGCTCAATTAAGGAAGAGTCAAAGGTGATCAAAATAATATTTATTCAAATCCCTAATGGCTCAATTAAGGAAGAGTCAAAGGTGATCAAAATAGTATTTATTCAAATCCCTCCCATCGCTCCTCATCAAATCCTTATTCAAAAGGTAACTCCTAATTTTCATATTTAATTTAGGATTAATTGTCATGTTAATTACAAGATATTATTTCACATAATATCTTGTAATTATTCACACAATTTCACCATATATGGCCGGCCACCATTCTCCAAAAAGAGCCGGCTACTCCCCTATAAATAGCCCTATTATCCCACCAAAAAGTTAAGCCATTTGCTACCCACAAATTCCTAAACACATTCTTTTCAGAATTCAAACTTTGGTGTCTGTGATTCTTCGGCCAAAGCCACCCCATTGCAAGTGCATTTTCGTCAAAGGAGAAGACGGTGAAAATTTGCATCCACAATATTGCCTGACACTTTTCATTTAAAAATAATTTTTTTGCAGAACTATACCCAACGACGGAGCCACACGAGAGCCTGGATAGGCTTAGGCCCTTCCTGCAGCACCTACCGTAGCATCAAGGCTGGTTTGGTACTGAGGTGATTCTGAAAAAAACTGGTATAAAAAAAAGCTGGGAGTTGTTTTTGTGTTTGGTAAACATTCAGCTTCAACTTTTTTTCACAGTTTTGGGTGACAAAAAGCCAAAAACAAGAAGCTGCAAAACCTAGCTTTGAAAAACAGGCCCTTTTTCACATCTGTTTTACATAAAAGTTTACCAAACACTATAATACTGCTTTTTTTTTTTTTTTTCAAAAGCACTTTTACAAAAAAGTTTACCGAACACTCTGTTGCTTTATTTCACAGCTGCTTATTCTCACAGCACAGCAGAAGCAACTTTTTTTCAAATCATGGCAATACCAAATCAGCCCTTAGTATGTTGGTTTACAAGACTTTAATAAGCCACCATTTTAATGCATGAAGGTGCTGAGATTTTTTAATATTATAAAATAAGGTCTACTATAATGTGTTTTTGCGGTGGTAGTTTTAAGCCATGACGTTTTCAACAACTAGTTCTGCGTTTATGCTACATTTTTGTAATACTACCATGAAATCTCTAAACCTTCATAATTTCTCTTTAGTTTATAATTATTCATGACAATGTCACTAGCACTACGTGTATTCTTCTCCACTTATAAGTATGTGATTTTAAGTACAATTATGATGAGTGCGATGGTAAATTATTGTGGCTTACTCATAGCGTGGCTTAGCTCAATCTTTCACTCTTAATGTAAAATATCTTTGTATCAAAATAATTATCCATGCCAATACAACCCCCAAAGTTTCTCACATTATACTCATATTGTGCTTAATTCTTTTAATATGACTTAACTTAAAGGGAGAAGGATTCTCTCCCCTATCTTTTTTTCCTCCCCTTCTATTTGAACAGTTACGGTTAAGTCACATTAACATCTTATATTAATTTTTTTATAGAAAAAGAAAGCCAAAATAAAGAGTGTGAGATGAGGGGATGGAAGGGGATAGAAAAAGGAATGGAGAGAATCCTAGTCCAACTTAAAGGCCCATCCTAACCTCGATTTCTGGCTCCGCCACCGACTATACTTCTGATCAAGGCTAATTTTAGTGTTTTCAGTTGGAGATGACCTAACATGTATACAATTTAACTTATTCAGGCCATATTTAGGCAGACCAACCTTGATGGAATTTCGACGTGGTTGATTTGAGGGAGAACTGGTGTTTGAGTTCGGACACTAGTCCACCATCTGAGTCGAATCAACAATCTTTACTGGTACACTAAATGCCAACTATAATATTTGATATACAATAATATCTTACATAAAAGACAGTTTTGTAATAAGCAACAAAATAAGCTCGGTTTTGTAATAAGCAACAAAATAAGCTAATCCAATAAATTGATATTAAACTCGTCGTTCATGAAAAATAAACTTAAAATCTCACACCTAAAAATAAAAAGAAAAAATATTGTACCGCACTACAAGTCATCTAAAACATGAGTTGAAGTTCAGCTTAATTGAAATAGTCTTGTTTTAAAACGAGTCCTGAGAGTTTATGCTTAAATACGTCTTACGTTTGAAAGTAGACATGGAAGGCATTTGGACGCTCTTCCTAAACGCGTTATGCAGCATGATGAGCATGTTGGGTTGCTAACGAACAGGTCACTTTCTAAGTCAAATTAATTAAATCAAAAGAAAATGGATTGGGGGTCCAATCTTCAACCTGCCTCAATAATACGTTAGTTATGAGCTTTAAACACGTAGCTACTCAGGGGAACGTTTTAAACTCATCTGACATTCACCGTGCAACCACAATTTGGTATATGTACGTTCATCTTAATTCTTATTTTTACTTGTGTGACAACAAATGTGAAAGGTTAGCAATCAAAATTGATGAAAATTGCAACTAGATAAAATTAAACGCATCACTCGCTTAGTACTATGATTTATTAGTATCTTTCTTTATTTGTAAGTGAAAAATTTTAGGTTCGATTTTTGTTAAATGTGAATTTGAACCACATTATGAGGCTTAGCCTATTCTCTTACGGCTTAGTGTAAATAATATCGTTTATTCAAAATAATAAAAAACAAAAACATTCAATTGCATATGACATGTTTAATTAAATTTAAGTTCAACTAACTTTACTAATTATATACAACGTTCTCCTTGCATCGCATACGTATTATCCTATTGATCATATCAAGAGAAATAGTTTTCGTTTTAATATATTGTCATGGGTGATAATTATTTACAGTTACGCTACAAAATCAGTTTGCATATTAACGTATTAGTTTTTTAATTAGAGAAAAAATATTTTCTCTAAGCTTACTGTTCACCTAAGATCCCATCATACACATATCCTTGTTAATTTGAAGATTCGTCGTCAATGTATGCATGCAATTTATGTTTGATGTATTTTTAGCTTATTTTAGTTCACGAACTTTACAATATTGGATTCTGAACGATCTTGTTACTGTACTCAACATTATGCTTACATTTATATATACTACGAAGGTTCGATAATTTTAACCCCACATTCTCTCATGTTTGACAATGTTGGTGATTTTATTCAAAACTATACAAAAATCCGACCAGTACGGTGTAAAATATTGTTTGCGAGAGAAGTAAGCTAACGGTGACGGGGACAAATTGACCTCCGGTAGGGTCCTTAGTTGTTACCGTGACGGTAAAGGTGGCATCTGGTCCATTCTTAAATAATTGGGGCCCACTTTGCCCGACCCAAAACGTAGGACCCACGGGAGCAGAACCCAGCTGGTCTTCTTCATATGATATTCTGCTTCTCAATCCTTGAAATTTTCCTTGTCAAGATCTGACTTTATTTTCCCTTTAAGTGAAAGACAGGAGGGCCGGTGGAGGCCTATTGGCTGTTGCGCTTTCAAGTTTGTTGCAATACTTTCTTTGGTTGGTGGGGAAATAGTTAGAGGAGAAAGAGGAGGGCCAGTCTCTTCCCATTTGAGATCTGCCGCTTTGCTTACAGGGTAATGCTTTTGACTTGCTCTTTAATTTGGACCCGATTGTAGATTTTGTTTTTGGAATTCACTATGTGATGTGATGCTGTTTGAATGCTGTTTTTTTGCGCTGTATTTCTTGGATTGTTGGCATTTGGGTTACTAATTTTGGATAAAAGAAGCAATTTTTAACATGTCGGTGTTGTTTAATTTTGATTTGGAAGATAACCCAGTTGCTAGTTGGACCTGATAATTGTTGTGAATTTTCCTTTTTGGATAAAAAGAGGCAATTTTGGCATCTGGGTCTTGTTCCTTTTTTTTATTTGGAAGTTACCCAGTTGCTAGTTGAACTGGATAATTTTTATAAATTTTCATGTTTGATTGCTTAAATTTTACTGACATTTAGCAAAAAAAAACTTCTATTCTGCCATGGAAAGTCATTGTCTAGCTTAATTAACTGATTTTCTTTCCTTTTTTGCTCCCCCAGGATTTATTCGATAATCGATTTGATCATTAAAAATGCTGATTTTGTTATGGATGTGCCTCCTTGTACAATTTCTGATATTATGTACCAGATGCAGTCATTATTTTTATGCAATTGAAATTTGGAAGTTAACTTTGATTTGTTCCTCACAGGGATTAGTTCGAGGAATGTTAAGGAGATGGGGAAGAAAGGTTGGTTTTCTTCAGTAAAGAAAGCTCTGAGCCCTGATTCTAAGAAGAAAGAGGAGGTTTGAAGATGTTCGAATTCAGCTAACGTTGTGTTTAGTTGTATATTCCGTTACGAGTCTTTGATTTTTTTGTAACTTTTTTTTTTTTTTTTTTTTTTTTTCAGAGATCAGATAAATCAAAAAAGAAATGGTTTGGGAAACAAAAGTACCCGGAGTTTGAATCTACTTCTTATCAACCGTCCATTATATTGCCACCTCTTCCACCACGAGAAGAGGTGAAATTAACCACTGTGGAGAATGAGCAGAACAATGATGCTTACTCTGTTCCAGTCACCACCACAGTCACCCCTACCGCAGTGGCTGAGGCTGCAGTTTCCGTGGCTCCTCCGACTCAAGCTGTTGCAGAGGTTGTAAGACTCCCTACAACCACTCAGTATGCTGGAAAATCAAGGGAGGAAGTGGCAGCAATCAAGATTCAAACAGCATTTCGAGGATACCTGGTATGATTTTAGAAATTTATATTTTGGCCTTTGACATCCTTGATGGCAGTGTTCATAAGTTTATAAATGGATGCTAAAATATAACCTTATATTTTGGAATTAACCTGAGTTGTTTTCCAAACTTTCCAGGCAAGAAGGGCGTTGAGGGCGTTAAGAGGGCTTGTTAGGCTGAAATCATTGATAGAGGGATCTGTTGTGAAACGGCAAGCCACAAATACCCTCCGATGCATGCAGACTCTATCTCGTGTGCAGTCTCAGATACGTTCCAGGAGGATTAGGATGTTAGAAGAGAATCAGGCTCTGCAAAGGCAACTCCTACTAAAACATGCAAAAGAGCTTGAGACTTTGCGGGTCTGTTTTATCACTCTTTGTTTGTTATAATCTTTTAGATTGCAAAGTCTAAGTTCTCCTTTGGATTTAACATTTCATTTTTGCGGTAATTAAACATATGAGCTGTTTGGGAGACAAGTTATACTGGCTACGTTTTTATTTGAACCTAATTTCTAAACGCTTCTTTGTGAATAAACTAAAAAGTACGGGTTCAAAGTTTTTTCTCATGCTGGTGCGAGAAATGCAAGTTAGAATTATTGCATTGTTGACTCGGCCAAGTCAAATGGGACAATTACAAAGGTTGAAATCAAAGCAAAGATTCCCAAACAGATATATATTTGGAGTTTTATTGAGATAACTTTTCATCCAGATGAACGTCAACTGTTAACTCATTTTGAAAATTGATACAGCTTGGGGATGAATGGGATGATAGCATACAGTCGAAGGAGCAAGTTGAAGCAAACCTATTAAGCAAACATGAGGCAGCAATGAGAAGGGAAAGAGCACTCGCTTATGCATTCTCTCATCAGGTATTCTAATCTATTATATTACAGAACATAAATGAATTGAAAGGATTAGGAATAGCTTATGCATTCTCCTCTCCTGTGCTAAATTATGATGTAACGATGAAAGTCATGGGAACATTCAACTAGTTACCACTATGCTATTTGATTAGTTATAGTGAGTTTTGTTAGCTTGTAGGTTTTATTTTCCAAGCCTGAAACCAAATATTTTAGTATGCAACAAACCCTTGTTTACAATTCAGCAATATTCTCCAGCCTTGATTCCTTTGGGATTCTTTATTCATTTCATTACTATTAACTAGGTTGAGATCACATAATTTCCAGACTTGGAGTGAAAAAGGCGTAATCTTGGTCGTTATTGGTCTTGTCGAATGATATGGTACATGCATGATCAGGTGACGTAAAGAGTTCACAATTGCAACTAAGTCAGCTAAGTTAAGATTTATAGAGTAGAAGGTTAGGAAAATCATTTTGAAGAAAAAATAACTTGGTTTCCTTTAGTATAGTTTGCTTATCTGTGCGCTTAGTTGATTGGTCATTTCCTTGTGCATGTCAGTGTGTGTGTGTGTGTCTATGTTTACAAATAAAACCATGTAACTAATTACATATGGTGAATATAAACTGCTTGGTCCGCGGTTACCATTTATGAAACCAAAAGAATTTTAGCCGCTGATTTAATTTTAAGTTTTCCTGAATCTTGAATTCACCTCATTCTGGGTCTAACCCCTTTATCACTCCACAGAAAAATGGGAAGAATACTACAAAATCTGTAAACCCAATGTTCATGGATCCAAGCAATCCCACATGGGGTTGGAGCTGGTTGGAAAGGTGGATGGCTGCCCGGCCTTGGGAGAGTCGTGGCATGACAGATAAAGACATGCAGGATGAGCATGCATCTGTAAAGAGTGCAAGTCGCGGCATTTCTGCTGGAGAAATTAACAAGTCCTATGCCCGCTACCTCCTCAATTCCGACAAGCAATCCCCAACAGCCAGTGAAAAGCCAAGCCATCCTGGATTTCGGTCCCCTTCAACTCCTTCTAGGCCAGCTTCGAAAGTAGCTCGAAAATTAAAGCCAGCAGCAAGCCCAAGGGGTAGTAGGGTCCCGGATGATGACATGAAAAGCATGGTCAGTGTGCAATCAACTCAGTTTAGGAGGCACAGCATTGCTGGCTCCTCTGTGAGGGATGACGAAAGCCTAGATAGTTCTCCAGCAGTTCCGAGTTACATGGTACCAACGAAATCCGCAAGAGCTAAGTCCAGGCTGCAGAGCCCAGCAGAGAAGAATGGGATCACTGAGAAGGACTTGCCGCCTGAGTCAGCTAAGAAACGGCTGTCATTCCCAGCCTCCCCCGCTCGACCAAGGCGGCATTCTGGTCCACCAAGGGTTGACAGCAGTATAATCACAGCAAACAAAGTGACCGATATTGGAGTCGAAAGCTAATTATTTCCAGCACAGAAAGAAGAGTGGAAGAAAAGCTGTTTCATGGACCAAAAGGGAAAGAAATAAAGGTTTATTCCATCGGTGAATTGTTTGATTTCTTAATTAATACTTCCTCAAAAGTTGTTGGTGTGGGGTAAAATTACTCCCAGGAGTTTGCTTATGCTGCAAGCTATGGGCATTTGTTGTTATTTTTTCAAATTTGTTTATTTGTATCTGATATAATTACACCTCTTATCTGGGTCCTTGCCATTGTCAGAACCCAATTCTTAGAAGACGAAGACTAATAGTGTTCTGTTGAATTTCTTGTTTCCTCGGATTGGTGATTATAAAATATATGTATATGTATTTAATTTATGGATTATTGTTTCATTATTTGGTGTAGACAGTTCCCTTTTCTATTATTTTCAATTGCCTAAATCGGTTATTACTTTTAGTTTTTTAAAAAAAAATGAAAACTATACTCTAAATTGAAAATGAAATAATTATCAAACAACATTCAAAGTATAAAAAAAATGATAGTTGATTTCCAGCTTTGCCATTATAACATTGGATAAAACAATTTTCTATTTTTAAAAAGGGAGAATTTTTGGTATTGTATTGTATCAAATAAAGAGGAAAGTTAACAATCTAAGGTTACATGTAGCGTTATAAATCGACTTGAAAAAAATCTGAGCATGCATTAGGTTTGGCTCAACGAAGTTCAACTGGTAAAAGAAACAAGTCGAGTTAATGTTTGGTTTAATAAGAAACAACTCAAGCTTGAGCATTTATAGGTTTGGCTCATAAAAAATTGTGAGCAACTCATATTTCTTCCATGCAACTCAAGTGTAATGCAGCGGCTTGCTGTAAACAGCAGAAACCTTGAATGAGACATAAAGATGATCGGGATAGCGCTTAGAGAGATAGGATTGGATAACCAAGATCCGAATAGAACGCTTGGCACACAAATCCATAAAAGGACGCGCCGTTCCGATTGCAAGAATGTCACTTTACCGTCAAAAGCCTAGCTGATTTGTTGGAAAGATGCCAGCACAATGCTAGATTGAAAGGCCGCACGGCGGGATGGCGTATATAAAGGTCTGAAAACCTCCAATATTAAACTAATTTTCAGTGATTGAGATAAAACAAATTGGCTTGATTGAATGATATCTCTTAATGGATTTAGTCAGCACACACTCAGACTCCATCGCGTCTCCAAACTGCAGATTTGGAACGGAACCATCCCAAATCCAAGCATTCAATATCTTCCACAATCTGCTCCTCAGCTACTTGTAACAACCATTCTTTTAAGGATGGCTCCTACAGAACACACCCCTCAACCTAAATGGAATACCAAGTCAGTTTTTTTTTTTTTTAACAAACGATAGTATCTACACTAAAAAAATGTGGAAGTGAGCTAAGTTTTACAATGAACTTGGCATAATGATGTAGTTCAACTTTACATTTGGCGAAAATTGAATCTAAAATATCTCACGTGAAAAGAAATATCAATAAATTGTAATATTAAATCATTTTTTTCGTTTCCTTTTTCTGAATAATTTTGTATGGGGTAAAACAGAGATTTCAAAATAAAATAAAAAACAAAAGTCTTTCCTTATACAACAAGTGGTTTCCTTTGGCTTCTTCTACAAGTACTCGGTTGTTGTTGTCGGCGGTCTTCTCGTTTGCAATTACGTTTATTTAACCACCAAACATTATTTTTGTTGCAAGAAATCAATTCCTAAACGAAAATACCATAAACCCTAGTTTGGCTGAGGCTGACGGAACTGTTTCTCCGACCTCCAAAGAGTTACAGAAATGGTGAGCCCTCTTTCTCCTACATATATTTGCTCTCTCTCTCTCTCTCCCTCTCTCTCTCTCTCTCTCTCTCTCTCTCATATCCAACAGGGTAGTAATTTTATGGATTGGGATTATGCGGAAGATTCTAAATTTAGGGTTTATCGTCAGCGTCTGTTCTAAATTCAGATGAAAAATTATAGGACCCGAAAAATTTAGAATCTTTTGTCTAAGTTAGAACAATAAGTTAATTTTTTTTAGATTATTTGCTTTGCTATTGCCTAATGAACGACGATTTCTAAGAATTTTAATTTTTGTGTATCCTGGGCATCGATCATCCAACACTTTCTGTCGTTTTTCGTTTTGATTCGTTAGAATTTACGCGTGTACTGTCCATATTGGAGTAGGGAATTTTGTGCTTTGTGTGACTCGGACTGCAACAATGAAGGACTGTATCCGATTGAGCCTTTATGTTTGAATTCACAACTATGTACTTTGATAAGTGTTCGGCGAAGAGTTAACCGCTCGTAGTTGCAAAATAAATTTTTTATTGCTCGTAACAATGTTGCACATGCTACCGGTGATGCTTATGTAATATTTGCAACAGGTGACGGCGTTGATAGGAGGAGTTGCTGTGGCTGCTGCTGCTTATGCTGGCAGATATGGCATTCAGGCTTGGCAAGCTTTTAAAGCAAGACCACCTACAGCTAGACTGCGGAAATTCTACGAGGGTGGTTTTCAGTCTACCATGACCAAAAGGGAAGCCGCTCTCATACTTGGAGTGAGGTACAACCTGGCCTCTTTTTGAAATATGTATAAAGCTGTGTTCTGTTTGAGTCATGAAATCTGTATTGTGACATATTATATGCTAGAAAAGGTGTTTAATGTTCTTTATGGCGATGATGACAAAAATTTCTTTGAAATGTTTCCGTTGCTAATGTTTCCCCACCTATGGGTCTGTTATTGGGGTGTGGAGTTTTTCAAGCAATTGCAGCTCTACTTCCTTACATATCTAGAATGGAATATATGGATGAGGTTAGGATTATTTGATCGTTGGACTGGTTAAGCCGTAAGCAAGTCTGAAGGAGATTATTTTCTTTTAGAACCCACTATGTAACTAGCAGTTCTTCCCCTAGTTGTAGTTGTGGAAACCGGGTCTTTCTATTTTGTATTGTACCTATTGGTTTCCTCGCTTCTTTCAGAACCTTGGGCCTTAGCCTCTTTTCATAGTTCAGTTATTTACAATTGTGAAATTTATTACTTTTTTTTCTTTTCTATTGGCATATATGTGTCAAAATGTTCGTCCTGGTACTGATCTTTTAACCTTAGTGGTGGTTTTTAACCCGAGGTATACTTGAGCCTTGAGATTAGCTTATTAGCATCCAATGGATTTTAGGTTCTGCTCAAATAGAATTTTGGAAAGCTTGTGGGTGCCTAGCACAAAATTGGTTGTCTGTTCTAGGTCCTTTGATTCTTCACAAGAAATTTCTTTATTGGCATAAATGACAGGAAGCTTAACTTGTGCCATGTTTCTGACATCCCTCAGAACGTTATCCTCTATAATACTAGCATGTTTCCTATTATCGGTTTCAGTAGCTTAAGCTATTAGCTATGTTAGTTTTGAGTTCAACTATAGTGAATTTTTCATGTCTTGATATTGAGCTTGGAAGTTCATTCTTTCATCAAAATTTGGAACTTGCGTGTCTTTATGCCTGACATCAACTGAACCAGTGCACACGGTCCTGGTCAATTAGAGCAAGTCTCGAGCTGTAAAACCGGGACAAAGTGCAAGCTTTGGGGTGCTGTTTTATGTCTTTTTGCATTATCCGCTAGACCTGATGTACATATATATTCTTTATTTTCTCAGGGAGACTACTCCTACAGACAAGATCCGGGAAGCTCATCGGAGGGTGATGGTTGCTAACCATCCAGACGCGGGGGGTAGCCATTACCTTGCATCCAAAATTAACGAAGCTAAAGAAATGATGCTTGGAAGAACCAAGGGTACCGGCTCTGCTTTTTGATTGTATTGACTTGTCCTATTGCGTTGCGCCGATCCCATTTTAGGAGGGTCATCCCTGTTTTGGATCAAAAAATTTCGGTGTATATCAACGAGGCAGTTTCTATAGCAGGGAAATTATAATTTGAGGATCCCGTTGTTGGACCCTAATTGGAACTCTTGTACGTTTAATTTCATGAAATTTCTGAAGCATTGAAGTCATTTTTCTGATATCTTTGCTAGTTTGCTTCGCTTACGTAAACAAAGGAGGAATTGCTCAATAGGACACGTACTCTTTGCTGTGAGGCTATGACACTTATGTCAATTTTATTTTGTTTTCTAAACAAACCATTTAATATGGAATAAGCTATGGAAAACACTATAAACCACTCAACACTATAAACCCCTCTTAATTGAAAGACTAACAACCATATTTCCTTTGGTAATTCTGGGATACTTTCTCGTCTTCTAGCATGTGGTGGGAGAGATATGCTCTCATGAAAGGGATGACCAGTGACATTACATGACAAATATTTATTAAACAATTAAGATGGTGGAAGAGATATGCTCCCATAGAAAGGGTGACCGGTGACCAGTGACGTTATATGACAAATATTTATTAGGTACCCACAGGCACTGAATCAATTTCAATGATCAGTGTTAATTTATTTTTGAGACTGAATTGCCCTCTGTGCTTGTAGGCACCGAAGAAAAATCGATTGTGAGAATCGACAACTGTTGGAAGAGTTGAGTGCCACCAAAACACGCATAAAATTGGCTTAAGACTCCAAAAACAATGTGTCCATTACATTCGTTCATGTGGATGTTGTGGCATCGAGTGAGTTCAATTACTCTCATTTACTGTTGAAAATTACACATTGAGCATGGCATGTGAGCTAATCCTCCAAAACTTTTCAAACTCTTACCTTCACGCTCCGCTGAGACGACGAGCATCCTACGGTTATTCTATGGTATTTACATTAGAATTCTAGGTAATAAGAAGCGATTATCAGAAACGCAGTGTAAGTCGCGAGAGAATCAAGCATTCGTTGATATCTCTTCTGAGTTGCCTTTCGATGGCGTTGTATCTATATCCACTTTTTCCACTACTGGACCTTGAGGGCTTCCAAAAAGGGTAGTGAAGATCTGTCTGTGGCATTCATCACAGAAGTATAAGTACGAGAAGTGGCCTTCATTTGGGAGCTTATGCACGTAAGATCCAGGCAAAACCCGTGCTATATAGTCGGTCACTGATTGTGGGATTACCATATCATCCATCCCCTGTACAATATTCATTAGACTTAATGTCATTAACAAAATTCTCAGGCCAAGTCGCACTGTTCATAGTAGTTCTAAGTTCTCACTGTGAATTTCAGCATAAGATATAACTGACTCCCGCAAAACCAACGGCATACAAAAGTAAAATGCCACAAGATTCATAGTAGAAACACCAGAGCAGTGAACATTGGATGGGAAATTAAGCGATCGAGATAAAAATATATGCACCAACCTGCCATATGTGTATCCGGCCTAGAAATCCAGTCAGCATGCATTCTGCTTCACTGTTCGAGAGCCAAGCAAGAAATCCTCTTCG